ACCTCGCACTTTTCTACTAAATTTTAAACGTTGTAAAATTTTAAACAAATTAAGCGTGGTCCACTGCTGCCACTGCTGCACAGTATCGATACAGGGCCAGCTGTATCGATACTCGTATCGTCAAATCTCTGTGACGATAGTGACGATACACGATATTTTGAACACAGCACTATTAGTTACTGAAAATGTTGATATATATCCTACCTTTCCTTAGCATGCTTAGGAGAGAAGTTGCAATGTCAGATTCATGAACAATTTGTTCTTCTGAGTCAGATGTTTTCAATGAATTAGCTGTTCACAAAATGGATATTTCACTCAAAAATTTAAATTCAGTTACTAATTGCTCACCTTCATGTCGTTCTAAACCCATATGACGTACTTTCCTCTGTGGAACACAAAAAAATATATTTTGAGAAATGACAATGTTTTTATGTCCATACAATGGAAGTCAATGGGCACCAATGTTGTTTGGTTGGCACCAATGTTCTTTAAAATATAATCTGTTGTGTTCCATAGAAGAAAGACATCATATATGATTGGAATTAAATGAAGGTGAGTAAATGTTGACAATATCAATTTTGGGGAGAACCATCTTTTTCAATGATTCATCCATGAATCGGACTGACCCAGTTCTAATTGATTCAATGATTCACAATGATGAATAGTGTTTTTTCTTGTTGAATAACAAATACATTTTACACAAAGCACTATAGTATCACTCCAGAAGAGTAATATAGCAATATAGCATACAAATATGAACAACACTTAAGATGCATTTACACCTTTTTGAAGCTTGAAAGCTCTGGTTATCTTTTATTGTAATTGCAGGGTAAAGAATGATCAGTAAATTATATAAAGTTTGGAATCAGGGTGAGTAAATGATGACAAAACTATCCCTATATAAACCTTGGCCGATATGGTTGGTGGATTAACATAAACTATCTGTAAGTACATATTGCATATCCAGCAGTCAGGAGAATTCAATTAAATATTAAATGAAGATTATTGTGGGAAGAAAATGAACAGTGAGCCAATGTTCGGCGTAGCACTGGGCTGGTGAACAATACAGGACACGGAAAGAAAAGGAAATGACACTCTCCGTGCTGTCCTGCTTCCAGGAGAGTGTGGCTGAAAACAAGTCATTGTGTTGGAACAGAGCTTCTGCGGACAGGACTGGACTGGACGCGCTCAGTGGAACAACTCGGAAATGATAAAAGCAGGAAAAACAATGTGTGGATAGAAAAGCCACTGTCAGTGATCCAGGCTCATGGGGGGAGATGGAACAGCCGGGGAGGTTAAAGAGAGGATACAAACAAGAATGTGAACTCAGTTCACTAAGTAATTCCTATTTCTGATCTTTCACCACTCCTATAGAGCAGGAAAGCACAAAAATACCAGAAAAAATAGAGGGACAAAAAAGGGGACAAAAAGATCAGATCAGTGACCA